GAAACGAAACAAAGTCCCAATTTGGGATTAATAAAGTATATCTTATCTTAAACCATGGAGTCCAGTGGAGGTGTTTCAGGCGGGGGGGGGGGGAGAAACCTTTGGATTTTAGCCTTTGCAGACCATTGACATGCACGCAAACCTATAGCACACACTACAGGGAAGGGAAACCCTGAAATCATAATAGGCCCCCTTTATATAGCCCATACACACATGTTTACCGATAGCACACACTGGTCAGCTTATTATATAAATGTCACTGTGTATTATGTGCATGCAAATAAAAAAAACTGTACACAATATCAAAAAAATAAGGAGACAAATCAGGCTCTTTTTACAGTTTATTGTATATATATATATTCATATATATATAACAAAAAAAGTAAGACTGTTTCAAATTCATTGACAGCTGTCCATTCATCTCATAAACTTTATATATATATTTGTATATATACAAATATATACCATCTTCAGTCCACGTTGGATCCCTATACAGTGATCAGCTGTCTCTTTGTGTGTGTGTGTACTATTGCATAGAAAAAGGCACAGCTCTGAGGTCTGTGTAAAATACAGCCTTCGTGGAGAAAAATGAGTGTTTCTCCGCGATGTGACCCAACTCGTGGTCAGACAGCACTAAAACAGATCGGTAACAAACACTGATGGACCAAGTCTCTGGAGCTCGTGTGTTGTTCCTACTATTTACATTACTTTTGGCATTGAAGCGTCTATGACAGGCTTTGGAGTCTTGACATCGGAAGGTTGGAGACGGCTGTGTGTATTGCTGCATGAACGGTTCAACTTCAACTGGAAACAAAATCAAGTACAAAAGATGTAAAAAGTTGTGGCCGCAAACCCACAATAACAACAACAACATAAAAGCAGATAATAGGAACTACCTATGTGTATAAAAAATGGCTTCCACCCATAATTCCACGCTCAGATACATTCCTATCTGAAATACATTCCTGCCACACATTCTGTACACACATTTACAATCCAAATGTTCACTTCACATCAAAAATAAATATATTTACATTGAAAAGAAAAACAAGAAGAATAAATAACTTCATGGACAAAAGAAAAAACAAGCACTCCAAAATTCAAACATGGTGAGAGAAGCGTTGTCTGCAAACAGTATGATCGGTGCTGCTCACACTCCGCTTTGAATTCAGTTCAACGCAGCTCATTTACATATTAAGTGTCAAATGCATGATGGGAAACTAATGATGATCCACCAGAACAAGTTGAACATCACCAACACCTCACTGCTGCCAGACACAAGGGTCTAGGGACTCTTGTTAGGGGTATTTGTTACTGAACTTCATTTGAAGGGAAACATTTCAACATGTTGGTGATGTGCATCTCTGTGGTGTCCTTGCTGTCCTGGCTCCAAGATGGTGGAATGAGCTCTCCATTGACATCAGGACGGCAGATAGCTTGCACATCTTCCGGCGCAAACTGAAAACTCATCTCTTTCGACTCCACTTCGAGCGTTAGAACTATTAACGAAGCACTTTTATACTAATAAAGGACTGGCTTACCTAAAGCCAGTTGAGTAGCACTTGAAATGTTTGGCTCTATGAACCCTGATGTACTTATATGATTCTGTTTTCTTCAAGGTTGTGTCTTCCTGGTCGAATGTACTTATTGTAAGTCGCTTTGGATAAAAGCGTCAGCTAAATGCAATGTAATGTAATGCGTCTCTTTGTGATATTGCTCCACAAATGTAGATGACATTCATTCCAACAACTACGATTCTCAGGGGTCTATAGGGACTTGGCGTGGGAAGCGTAGGTTGCTGGTTCAATTCTCAGAACAGACCAAGTACAAAGTGTGGACTGGTCCTTTGAGAACTAAAAGTCACTGTGTGTGCCGTGCTGTGTACACAGGATTTCATTCGAATGATCCACCTTCATTCAAGCTGCGTGACAAATAGTTATGCATAATGTGTAAGGTGTCGGTTGTAATGATGAACTTGGACAGTTTTCACAAAACTCCTCACAATTCTATGAAGCGTTTTAGCTTCTTTAAACAATGTCTCACTGTGCGCCATCACAAGTGACAATGTGTAGCATTCAACGTTCAAGTTAATAATGTCATATAGTGTGTTTTAGGCTTGTTGCAAAAAGGGGCTCAAATAAGTGATGAACACAAGAGGCGCTTTCACACCGCAGTACTTTTCCCACAAAGGTTCATCAGAACTCTTTAGTTCTCATGAACTAAGTACAGATCGCGTTCACACTGGAAAAAGTCCCTGGGGGAGGATTAGGCAAATGAAGCCGCTGACGTCACTTCTTCTTCTTCTGCTTTGGGTTTACTGGCAGGCCGCAAACCACTTCACGGCGTATACTGCCGCCCGAAGTCCCCGGAGTTGGGGACTGGCTTCAGTAGAAGCTGCTGGGACTCCCAGCAGCTTCTACTGAAGCCTTCCGAGTAAATCGCCAGAACGCCGACACCTCCTCATCTCCACCGCTCCCATGTTATAAGTTAGTCTCTCTGCGTTTCTGCGCTGGGCTAATGCTAATAATGCTAATGCGAGGATAATAAAATGGCGGCTTCACAAAACTTTTTGGGAGTTTTACGGGGCGTGGTTTGCAATCCGCACAGCGAATCAGACATAGGAACCTATTCCGCAGGGACGGAAAAGGGGGTAAAAAGGTTCTGATGAACACATTTTAGTTCCGGATTTTTTTGGTGTGAACGCGACATTTCGGAACTATATCGGAACTAAAGTGAGAAAAGTACTGCGGTGTGAAAGCACCTAAGGTTTAACTTTAACTGAGGGCTTTTTTTTTACTTGAGACATTGTGCCCTGATATCGATATATTATCCAATTTCACCAAATGTAGCCTCAAGAAGATTGTGACATGTCACCACACAGCAAGTCTTGAAATACATTAATAAAAGATCATGTTTTAAAGAATTGCAGGGAAGACTACTTTTAAAATATCATTACATTGTAAGACTTTAGGAGGAACAAGCAAGAAAAAGCATTTTGCAACTTTTTCTTTTTTTTGTTATCAACTGAGCAGCTTGAAAATGATTCAATCCAATAATCCAGTTATTAGTAGGACTGCTGCATAAATAGAAAGCAGATTTGTATAATGCCTGTGTTCTACTGGCCTCATCTTCCAATCAAAATACAAATATCTGGGTGGTCTGAGTGCAGTTAATGGATTCCTGCAAAAGCTAGTATGGCTGTGGATCTGTATCTAAATGTGTTTGGAGTCCTCATGTGACCGTTTTTTAGATGCTGCCCTTAGCCTACACACTGTGTTTCTGCATAGTAGCCTCTGTTTGGAGTATGTTGCCCCGTTGCATTATCAGGTTAACATTGTTGTTGTACTCATTGGAAATCAACATTCAAATTATTCATGAGCCAGATCTCGCCCGTCTGCTGTTGTGTGGTTAAAGAATCCATAAGCTGAGGGTAAACAGTGAACAGCACAAAGCACAGAAGTGAGCAGCACCCTGCCATTTGGCATATAGGGCTCTTATTCTAAACACAGGTAAACATACTTTAATACTTTATACTGTGTGTCATTTATGTTGCTAATTCTGTAGGTATCAAACCAAGAAAATGCATTTCTAAATAAATATATTTGTGTCCAATTCAGCCAAATGAGTATGTTTTAAAGGTGGAATCCTCTGCACGTGACTGAGTTGATGGTGGCGCAGCGATGTAAACACGTGGAGCGTTCCTGCGGTGCAGCTCATTCGAATTCTGCTGGAACTGAAGCACGATGGCCCGTAGATGGAGCTCATGTAAAATAGCATCCAGCACAGTTATTTGTGCCTGCCAATGAGGAAGAGAAAAATAAGCCCTGAACTGAATTCATGATGTGTACAAGAACAGACATTTTCCTCTTCCAAACAAATGTAACAAATAACCCGGCGATGTGTTTCAGAGTTATCCCAAAGCGTGATTATATAGCTGAGCTAACATAAAACAACGCATTCCTCCTAAAACCTCATTATGCTTGCTTTACAAGAAGCTAAAACATCTGTAATAAGATAAAGATTAAATTATTATTATTTGATCATGAGAAATTACCTTACTTAATAATAGTTTTAACACGATACAATACATTAAATTAAAAAACAAATATCGAAGAGTTACCTCTCTCTCGGCTGTTAAAGTGAAAATAACTAGAAAAAAGAATACTGTAAAAACAGGAATTGAAGAAGTGGTCATTTTGAAAGGCACTCATCTGCTCATCATTGATTCATTGTGTGTGTGTGTGTCAGAGTCCTGCATCGGGTCGGGTACCCGCCGGGTGACCCGCAAAAAAGTTCTTGAAAATCAGACCCGTGCAGGACTCTGGTGTGTGTGTGTGTGTGGCCTATCATTACTATACTTGTGGGGACCTAAATCTGTTTACACAGTCACATGTGGGGACTCGCCTCCTTTATGGGGACAAAATGGAGGTCCCCATGAGGGGAATCATTCATTTTAGGGCGAATACTTGGTTAGGTTAAGGGTTAGGGTAAGTTTAAGGATAAGGGTTAGGCATGTGTTGGTTATGGTTAAGGTTAGGATAAGTCTCCAGGAAATGCATATAAGTCAATGTAATGTCCCCTGAAGTGATGTATACATGGTATGTGTGTGTGTGTGTGTGTGTGTGTGTGTGTGTGTGTGTGTGTGTGTGTGTGTGTGTGTGTGTGTGTGTGTGTGTGTGTGTGTGTGTGTCCACTTGTATTACTATACCTGTGAGGTCAAATAAAAGGACAGCATGACTGCAAAGATCCCCCATGAAGAGAACGATCTGCCGGTCCTCGTGTTTTTTTCTATTTACAGTTTAGGTTTAAGGCTTAGGTTTGGGTTATTCAGGTTAAAGATTTTAAATTAGGATAAAGTTAACATCAGGATTAGGGAATGAATGGAGTCAATAGAGGTCCTCACAAGTATTGAAATACAAACGTATGTATGTCTTTGTTTCCCGGTTACTTCATTTCCATAATTGGAAAGGCGAGCACAGTACATGCACAGTAATGTGTAGGAGTAGTTGTCATAGTAGTACTAATTGACATCACAATCGATGTTTACAATTACCGACCCTATTAAAAAAACATAAAAACAACAAACAGGAATATGCCAAAATCGATTCCTAAATGTTCATTCCAGTCTGTTGTCTGTATGAAACTGTCTGAGTGTTTCCGTGGTGACGGAGTCCGTCAGTCACGACCCCACCAACACCTCCATGATGTGGTCCAGTTCTGTCAGATCAATTTTGAAAGGCTGATTGGCTGAAACCTGGGGGGCGGGGCCACTGTACGGCGAAGCCAGCGATTTGAGGAGGTCGTCCGCCGTCACCACCGGCGACAGTTTGGTGATGCCGCCTGCCGCCACGCCCACAGCCCCCCCCGTCGTGCAGGGGTCAAAGTCATACATGGACGTGTCGATGTCGGCAAACAGGACGTCGTCCAGTGCCAAGTCTGAGAGGAACCCCGAGGGGGAGGAAGAGGAGGAAGAAATGTCTGCCAGGCCAGCAGGGGGCAGCTCTGCACAACGGGCATCAGCTAGCAAGACGCTATCTGCCTCTGGTTTAACTCCCACAGTCCTGCAGTCTCTTGGTAGGCCTGTGTGAGCAGGGGAGAGCGTTTCTAAGGGGGAGGGCTGGGTGAGTGGCGTGGGAGCCAGGGAGGTAGTCTCGGTATTAGCATTAGCTGCTGCTGTCCTTGTTATGGCTGTGGGAGGAGCCAACTCCATGTCACTCAGAGTGGAGGGTAAACAGTCGTTGGACGAGGCCGGCGCAGGGACCCGGGGGGCCGTCTGGCTCAGAAGTGCCGAAGGTAACGGGGGAGGCTGCGGCGTGGGCGGCGACATTGGAGGAGTGGGTGGGGTGGGAGTACAAAAGGCGGAATCTGTACCATCCTCCTCTAGTAAAGAGGCTGGTGTGAGGCAGGCTTCCAGAGGGGCGAGGCAGACCCCTCCATGGTTGGGGCAGGCCTGGGATGCCTGGCTGTTGGGAGGCACCATTGGGTGGGGGGAAGGCGGTGGAACGATCGTCGGCATCAGCAGTGCAGAAGGCTGGGATACCTGCACTGACAGAACACCAAAGGAAGATGGCGCCTCACGGAAGCCCTCGTCCATGGGGTCGTCGGGCTGTGGAGAGGGGGGGAGGAGCAGGGGCCGCAGGGACCCCTCCTGCTTCAGCTCGTCCTGGATGCGGCGCAGCATGTTGTTGATGAGGACCCGGCGCTCCAGGCTGGGCTCCCCGAGGGGCCGATGGCTGTACAGCTTCATGAGGGAGATGTTGAAGATGGTCTGCCGCTGCAGGGTGTACGACACCTTGGACAGGCCCTCTGGACAGAAGCCGAAGCCCCCCCCCGCCAGCGACCCCTCCAGCGTTTTGCCTTCCAACCCCTCTTCATCCTCGCCCAGCTTCCGCTTCGCACCTTTACCGAACATATATCTAGAAAACACAAAATCGGAGAGACTTTAGTTATACCAGAAACATAACAAGGCAATTCAAGCACACAATCAAATGTTTTCTATATTAATCATTTTGTTCTATCAGTTAAAGATTGACCTTCAACATTTCCCAAATCTATGCAAATGTTTGTCCTTTTTGCATAAAAAACTATTTAAACATTATCAAAGTAATTGCCATTCAGCATCCTGTTGATTGGAAATAAATTAATCAACTCATCCTTTAAGCTCTTGCGCCTGGAATGGTGACATTTAACATACTTGTCTGTTCATGAACTATTCTGTTATTGCAAAAAAGATATACACCTGGCCATTGGAGTTTTTGTACATTATGACAAATCCATTAGCCCTCCTGGTTCTCAGCATTAGATCATAATTGTTATACAACATCTCGCCCAACTGAAATGTGACATGTTTACCACCAGAGAAGTGTATATACTGCAACCCAGCAGCTTAACCATGGTGATTCAAAAAGCTGCTTAAACACAACAAGCTTACTGCAATGGGAGATACAAAAAAAAACATACGTTGAAACCAAGGGCAGCTGCACAGTAATGCTCACCGCTGCATACCAGTCACACACACTGGTTATGTAATAGCAGCGTTACCCGCATGAACATAGGCAATATTGAAGCCCCACCCCCCTCCATCCTCCATCCTCCTCCCTCCTGCCATATCTGAATTGCACATTGGGTTACTTATACCACTTTCAGATAGCACGCTGTTTGACCCACATTGGAGTCAACCTGATTCTCACTCCAGAATGCCTGATAAAGCTAATTATTGTATCCATAATGTACTATAAAATAAATGTTGTTTCAGGTTCACCTTTTGGGCTGTCCATCTCTCTTTGTAACCCACACTTTATATGAATTCCCCTCAACTTTTGTCCATAAATTGGTTAAAAGACATCAAAGGTCGGTGTCAGTATTTCCATTCATGTTTTCCGTACGCTAGTTCTCCAAAGCAGGGCAGCGCCTGACGGGTCGGGGAGAGGATGGTGAAGGAAGGTCAGCTGATGCAGTTAATACAGATAGACCCATGACCCGCGCACAGAGTCTGTCTAAATGGTATATTATTGGGGGGGCTGGGAAGGGTGGTGGCACGAGACATACAGTGCATTAGCAAAGGTCCACGCCTTTACATAACATACATTTATATTGCTTTAACAGATCCCTTTGTTGAATCAAACGATCTGATGGTGTCATTATTAGTGCAAAGCAAGAAAGGCAGCAACAAGAACGTTAAATAGAAGGAAGGAGTCGCTGCAGTATGTTTGACTCTAATCCAGGCTGACAGGCTCATGCAGCCAGTTGCTGTCTCCACACGCATGCGCAGTGTGCACATGCGTCTCCTCACACACACATACAACCACACACACAGGAAGTGTGAGCTGCAGGCCCAGTCACCACAACTGGTTGGTTGCCATGACAAACAGAGTCAGCTGGGAATTCACCCGGAGAGATGACAAAGAATGGGATGAGGACACTGGAGGGGGTGTTCTCGGGGGGCAGGAAAGAGGAAGGCGAGGAGCAGGAAGAGGAGGAGGAGGAGGTGAGAGATTGGTCCGTAAAAGGTGGGAGGGCATTGAGCAACTTTGAATCCTCCTCCTTTAAAACTACTGCTCAGGGCCTTTGAGCAAAGAACTCTTCACCTAAAATGATGAAGGTCGGCTCTACAAAATGACATTTGACTGATGTTTGTCGAACTCTTAGACGATCTCCTGTCTTTGCCTTGGACACAACAATGACAGTTTTTTTTTCAATGCTAGCAGGTTAGCTTTGAAGTATATTACGCTTGGGATTTGAATTTGTATCCATGGAAATGGTCACATACCAGATGCTGGTCGGACTGCTGACTGCTGAGATGATTTACAAAATGAGAATGTTATTAACATGAAAAGTGTAACAGGGTATATTTGTTAGTTAATGAGGTGTTTCTTTTTTAACAGAGCCAGGCTAGCTGTTTCCCCTACTTCAAGCTATATGCTAAGCTAGGCTAACCATCTCCTGACATCCATTGCTGACACACAGATATGAGACTGAACTTCTAATTAAACTCTCACTCTCAAAGCTAACATAATCCCCAAAATGAACTTTAACAATCAATCCATTAGGCTTAATTAGCTAAATAAGAGCTCCTAAACATAAGACTATCTAGCAGTGTTATCTTTTATTATACACTACAACTCAGTATATTACAGAGACAGCCAACCTGGCTCAGCAGACAAAACTAAAATGATTTTCTATAGTGCTTTCACTTTATTGAGCTAAACTATAAACTAGCTAGGACAAAGGCTATCAGCTCACTGCCTATTAGCGGCAATGTCTTTCTGTCTAGATACCTGAAATAAGGTCTGTGGTTAACATATGACCTAAGATGGCTCAGTAAATCCCCCACTGGTGAATGTCGGAAGATTCTGTGAGTCATAAAAACGTCAGTTGCTAACAAGTGTATAAATGGGACTACACAATGTCATAAAGCTGAACATTAGCAGCTTTTAGCTTAGCAGTGGTGAAGTCATGTGACCGTGATGTAGTTCTTTATAGAGCTTATTCTCTGCAATATACCGAAATCCAATGGAAAGCTTTTTTTTTTATAGGTAGCCCTGGGAACTTCTAAAAAATCTGCAGTCTTTTTCTAAATAAGGACAAAATGAAAATACTTGTTAATGTAACAGTAGTTATTTTTGATGTTCCTGACGTTTACCCATGCACTACTTGAGTATCTGCATTCATTGGAGCTGCTTTTGAGGAAAATGGCCAATCACAGAGTGTCAAAGAGACAAAAACAGAGAGAGCAACAGAGAGAGTTTCAAAGCAGTCTGCTGCTGTGTGATTGAGAGCTGAAGCAGCTGCACATGTCTTACTGACTGACTCATGGCAGGGTGTTTATACACACACACACACACACACACCATGTATACATCACTTCTGGGGACATTACATTGACTTACATGCATTTCCTGGAGACTTATCCTAACCTTAACCAACACATGCCTAACCCTAACCCTTAGCCTAACAGAGTCTTCACCCTAAAATTAATGATTCCCCTTATGGGGACCTCCATATTGTCCCCATAAGGGAGGCGAGTCCCCACACGTGACTGTGTAAATAGATGTAGGTCCCCACAAGTATAGTAATGCTAGGCCACACACACACACACACACACACACACACACACACACACACACACACACACACACACACACACACACACACACACACACACACACACACACACACACACACACACACACACACACACACACACACACACACACACACACACACACACACACACACACACACACACACACACACACACACACACACACACACACACACACACACACACACACACACACACACACACACACAGTGCAGGGCTGACATACCAGAGGTGCCCCACCCCTTACATTCCACTTCATTATCCTCCTCTTCCCTTCCCTTTTCCTCTTCTCTTTTTCAGTCACTATATAACCTCCTCTCCATATATCATATTGTGAGCTATGTGGGCATATGAACACACCAGACAAACAAACAACAGGTCGTATATGAGTATATGAGTATAGCATAGCTGTGGAGGAGTACTGTGCTCTGAAATGGAGCAACAGTCTTCATTAAAGGTCACTGTAACGCGTCCAGTCCACTGTTGTCTGTCTCGCAAAGAACTGTCCTAAAAAAGGTTTTTCCAGGAAGTAAAAATAGCTCAAGGTCTCTTGAGAGCGTCTAGGCAGAGAAGCAAGCAGCTATGACTAGAAATCAACAAGCCTACATTTTTGAAGGTCAGAACTATTGCTCATATTCTTGGACTGAAGCTCACAATGGATATATTTTCACTTGTAAGTCATTACTTTTGAATTGGAAGGCTACAAATATTACAAGTGAATGTATATGTTAAATGTAACTATATTGACTTCTATGAGATCTAATAAAAATGTATTTAGGAAAATGTCTGCCAGAGTGCAATATCAAAAGAATGATGTAATTATAAATATGTAACAGGGCTGAACGATTAATCGATTTTGAAATGATGCAATTATCAAATCGCAAAGCCTGCGATTTTGTTTTGTTTTTGTGTGTGTCAGTCATCCACACCAATCAGAAGTGCTGTGCTCCACATGTACCAATCATTGTTAACCAATCAGAAGTGGCCCATGACAGAAGGTGATAGACAGATTGATCCAATCACCTGCCAAGTATTTTTGAAATACTTTTCCAAATGGCTTCCAATGGAGCTTTCCTAGATGGTTTGGTGAAACAAAGCATCTGGGTCAGGTTAGTAATGCTCCATCACGTGTTTCTATTACAGGGTGAATCTTAAACTGAAGCTTGACTTTAAAGCAACCCAACGGAAGCTTCATGTAAGTTTAGTTCTTTCACTCGTAGCTCGGGCTGCGGGGGTGCTAGAGACGGGAGCACGTTGATACGACCTTCCTAGCCGGAGTTATGGCCGCATTTTACAATAAACTTCCGTTGGGTCGCTTAAAAACAAATATCGCAATTCGAATCGCAATATCTGTCAGAAAAATCGCAATTAGATTATTTCCCCAAATCGTGCAGCCCTAATATGCAATAAATCAAACCACATCATATCAGATCATAAACATGTTAACTCATCACTTAAGTTTAATAACTACCTATTACTTCATCAATGTATGTAATAAAAAGGTCACATGAAATCTTTCCATTTGCAGAACTTCCTCCTTTTCTCTACCTACTAAGAACGAATAACAAACACATTCATTATCAATATATAAATGGTTGTTTCCAGCAGAGCGATCTGATCAAATCATTTAGTCAAATACGTCTATCATTTTGTGTCCAGCCCAAAATATCACCAATTATCCTGACCCACAGACTGGGCTGAACAATTTCTATATGTTCTGAAAAACGTACAGAACCAACTCAACTTGTGCATACATTGCTGATGATTATCTATCATTGTTTAGGACATCCACAACCTGAAAACTAACCTACA